GCGTCCCAAGGAGCGCAGACGTTCTATTTAGTCTTACGTAGGTGAAAATACTGGCAAGACAGGCGATCACTTTCCTAAAATATTCACGAGTTTCACTCCACAGGCTGAGCGTGTCTAGATACGTGTCTCGCTTGGTCAGTCGTTTGCATTCGCATTCGCGTTGATAGAATTCTGCAAATCCATTTGTGGACTTGTATCTGCTCTACTCTGCGCGTCACATAGCTGACTCAGCCTCATCTTCACTCATACCTCATCCACGCTAATCAGCTATCTATTCAAATTAATTTATATTTTTACTAAAAAATAATAATAGATCTATCCAATTCTGTCAGTATTTTTAATACTAAATTTCTCAGTAACTCTAAGAGCTGATTCAGCGATGGTAGTTTAAACTAAGAATTAGGTTCAAATTCTGTTGCAACAATGTGTTTGAACAGATTTGAAACTTGAGATGCTGTGAAAAATTTTGTGTTAATGCTTAGAAATGGTGAATATGAACTCAACTCAAAATAACATAATAACATGTTAAATTAACATAGGGAAATGTAAAAAATTTGACAAAAATTTTCACATGGATTAGCTTCAACTCAAATACAAAATATCTTTTGCCGTGTAAGTTTAAACTACTATCAAGAAATCTAAGTACTCGTTTTTTAATAATAGCTTAAATTTAGTCTTGAGTTTAAAATCGGTTTAAATACGTCAAATATATCGTTGGAATAGAGTTTGCGCTTAAATCTACGTTTGTTAAATCTACTTTTGTTGGAAAATCTGTTCTAAATGAACTGATATTCGTCCTGCTCGATACGTCGCGTCGCGTAGCGTAAATCCCGTGTCACACTACGGATTGGAAATTGAGGATTGCGGATTGAAGATCAGATTTCGACGAATCAGTGCGCTTTGGTCTTGGCCTGCTTGGCTCCAATTGGTCAAGTTCCAATCTTCAATCCACAATCCTCAATTTCCAATCCGTAGTGTGACACGGACTTAACGCACGCGAAACAAGAAAAGAAAAAGGATAATTGATAATCCGCCGTGAAATTAAGACCGACACCCCCGGGAACTTTATCGCGATGGGGGTGCGCGACGGCGCGCGTCCGCGTTGCCGATCGTCATTGTGTCGTAAGATGCATATTCATACGGGGACGCATGGGATCGCATCAGGCCGGAAATCGATGTAATTCGGCCTTCTCGCGAGCGATACAATGCGCACGCCGGCGGCCATCGAAATTAATAGTCGCTATTATTTGGCCTAGTGAATCGGCTAAGTGTTTGGCGCGCGTATCCTGCCTCCCTAAGCAAATAGAATAGGCACTTTCGCGATGCACCATTTATTATGTGGGCTGCGACGAGATCATTGACGACGACGATGACGACGACGACATTGCGTTCGCCGTATGAACCGGAAGCGCTCGCAGTTTCGTAATGAAGAGCGATGGTGTGAGTCCGCTTTTACCTTAACCCCAGAACACCGCACTTGGATGGTGTAGCACACCCATGCTATTGTCGAAACGTCCGCCGTTTCCATATAGTGAAAGATTGAAGGGTAAAAATGGAATGAAGATGGGATGAGAGTAAAACATTTCCATCTTTCTTCTTTACTTTCTCTCTTCAACTGTCCGTCCTGGGCAGCTCTGTCTGTTGCTTAGCAGATCCCACGTAGAAAATATTTTAGGATCTAATTAGAATTCAGCCCAATTTATCACAATAATTCTCCTTCAAAGTGAGAAACGTCTTTTAAGAACAAATTTTTGCCGTTCACACAGGACGAACGATACTAGCTGATACTTGTCTTCGTCTACATGGCTTCTCTGTAGAAATTAGGACTCTTCAGGACCATTTTTCTTGAGAACAGGGACTCAGGTTAGAGAATTATGTATTTGGGGTCGACTCGACGTGAGCTTCAATCCGTGCAAAAGATGTCATTATCGCAGGCCCCGAAATGAGGTGGGACTCGTATGGGCGCTTGGCTGCACTCTTTGCACCGAAGCTCGAAGGGTCAACAACGTAACCGCGAGAACGTCGCCGGTGCGATTCCGTCGTCTCGCTCATCTCCGTTTGGCTGCCGGTGGGTTAGCGAATTTCTGGCGAAGGGCCAAGGCTGCCTGTGCGCGACGAGGGTGTTAATCGCGTGTGTATTAATGGGCGAGACGCATCAGCGGTTTGTTAAAGAGCCGCCCCGTGGTCGTAGGTTGTGTTCGTCCACGTGGCTCGCGCTTTAGCGCTTAGCAGCTCATAAATCGCCGCGACAACGAAGCGGAAACGCTCTCGCGGACCCGCGAGGATACGTCGCTGATAATTGGGATCGCGAGTCCTCGGATTCTGCGGATTCTTCGCGGGACCGACGAGAGAGATCCAGCCCTTCCTGCTCCCCCTCGCGTCGTCCTCGAGGTCGTCGAACGTCTCGACGCGATCCATTTCCGGACGCAAATTCGTTTAGGAATCCGCGCCCTTTCTCCGCTAAGGAACGCGCGGACGTCGGTAGAGCGCGAGAGATGACGAGCAGAAGCAGGAGGTTAATATCGAGGCTCATCGATTATCTGTCTCCCCCTTTTGCGTCGAAGCCGTACCGATGATCCTCTCCGGACGACGTTAACTCGAGCGGGCAACCCTTCCCGCGCGGTTCATGGTCGGTTCTCATTAGCCACGCATGTATCCGTCACGTCCTCTCATGCACTCGAGTCACTGTCGCGCTCGTGAACAAGCCTGCTCGGCTCATCTGCTCGCACTCGTCCCCTAGTTTATTATCACGGCATTGTTATCGCGGCCAAATACGCGGTCTCGCAGTTGAATCCGGAATCGAAGCGGAATTAGAGTTGGAATTGATGATCTCACTTGAACTTTATTCAGTTCGACCTGATTGCACTTTGCGTGAAATTTACATTAACGTTGAATCGGGTCCTATTTGAATTTCCATTCACAATCATATTTTTTGAGATGTACAAAACAATTTGAGTCTGCCGGATTTCGAGCAATTTTGAACTCTCTCTCTCTCTGTAACCTTGTCAAGCATCAATATTTTTAGATACATTTTTTTCTAAAAATATAAAAAAGTTTTAGTTACAAGATAATAGCGCGATAAAGTCGAAATTTGTAAACAGACTTGCGTTATTTTGAGATTTTCTGGAACGTACACAGCAACCTTGGACTACCCCGTAACTTTGTTAAAAATCTATATTTTTGGATAATTTTTTCCAGAGATATAAAAAAATTCGACTACAAGATAGTATCACAATAAAATAAAAATCTGTAAATAAAATTAAATTATAATTAAATTGAAATTAAAATTAAAATTTTGATTCCTATACACAGAAAAAAAATATTAAAATAAAAATCTGTAAATAAAAATCTGTAAATAAAATAAAATTATAATTAAATTGAAATTAAAATTAAAATTTTGATTCCTATACACAGAAAAAAAATATTAAAATAAAAATCTGTAAATAAAAATCTGTAAATAAAATAAAATTATAATTAAATTGAAATTAAAATTAAAATTTTGATTCCTATACACAGAAAAAAAATATTAAAATAAAAATCTGTAAATAAAAATCTGTAAATAAAATAAAATTATAATTAAATTGAAATTAAAATTAAAATTTTGATTCCTATACACAGAAAAAAAAATATTTCGCAGCTAATCATAGTTTGCTGAAAATGTATTCGTTGTACTTAAAAGTTTGTTGCTACAAGTGAAACTTTTCTTACACGGGAAAAACGGTGTAGTTCAATATTGGATCTGGTTGACACAATCAGACTTATGTATGGGCCAACCGTATTGGCTTTCCCGTGTACTGTTGCTACTTCATCGGTTTCATAGCTAAGTACGTGTCTACCGGCAGCTGAACCGTTAAGTATCCATATGTTACAACAAGACTTAGCCACCACACGCAGATTCTTGCTGCCGCGGCTTCTCTTTCTCCATGCAGGTCTTCAACTCGACAAACTTGAATTGCGAGTTAATCGGGGGACACGTTGCACCTTCTGTGTATATCTTCGTGATATCTCAGCGACGCGTCTCGGCGATTCCCGCCGTCGCAAGGGACGCGAGGGTGAGCCGCGACGTCGTCGATCAAAAGAATCTATCTTCGCCGGCTGGCTATCCGCGCTCGCGCGTGTCATTATCCTTCCGTTAACTGACGCGCGAACCGTTACCCGTTCCTGCTTCTCCGAAGGTATCCGGCCAGGTCGGACGCGCGGAATTCGCGTAGGTCTCCCGATCTCCCACGATCGGGACACACGTCTACTCTTACTTTCGCTTAACGACTCGCCGCGTATCGCGTATCGCGGCCGCGCCGTGTCGAGGAGACCCACTGAGAGAGTCCCGGCGAGGCTCGCTCACTCGTTCGCTCCGGAATTTCGACTTGTCATTCCGTTTCTTTTCTTTGTTCCTTTTTCCTTTTTTACGTACCAATTTCCCCGTCTCATCGTCACGCGATCATGACTCCCTCGGCCAGCGCGGGTCGTGTCTCGAACGCTCATACACGACACACACGCGTACGGCGTACAGTCGAAACGGTTTTTCTCTCTAGTTAAGTTAGTATCTAAAGTCGTGTCTGTTATATTTGAGATACAGGATTATTCAGTTCCTCGAGCATCACTGTTAAATGCAACGGCTTAAGTCGGAATACTCTTGGATGCATTAACACACTTTTATATTGACTTGATGAAATTTACTTTCACACCGCCTATTGTCTTTTCGACTTCTGTGTCAACCGGTCGACCATGCAAGTTCGTGTACAGTGATTTCCAAATATGACAATCAGATGAGTCAGTAACTTCACTAGGGAGGAAGTGTGAAAAAACTGCTTCGCTCTCGACTGTACCTGTTTAAAAAATAACGCGAGATAACTCTTATCTCTCGTCGATCGTAATCTAACGGTGATTCATTTTCGTTTTACTCGCGCATTGTGGAAGGTGCGCGGTGAGCCACGTGCAGCTGCTTATCTTTCTTATTTTTTTTCGCGGAAGCTACATCCAACGCATGGAACTCGAAGAAAATGATCTATACCTTTGTTGCAGAGAATGGAATGAGCCTGGCGCGACCACTTCAGAGATGAGATCCTGACGAGGCAACAGAACGGATATCCCGCCGTCGCGATGGAGCCGCCACTCACGAGCAAGGTTCTGCGGGCTCCGAATCTGAAGAGGGGCCAGGAGAATATCAGGATACAGGATAGGGTGAGTTATCGTATTTATCACGTCTCTGTTATCACCGCTACACGAAGAAAAAAGAAAGCTCGGTTCCTGTAATTGACTTTCTGTTGTTCGGCAACCGGACGAGAATTCGCTAGTGAGAACAAAAGGATTCCTAAAGGAGATCTCTGTTCAGTCAAGTGTTCCTAACTATCTCAAGCGAGTTTAAATGTCACATGACAAACATTCTGACGAATGTTTTCGGTCGTGATAACAAAGATTGCACCTCTGAGTCATGAGTTTTCGTCCGGTCCTTATTCAGATGCACGAACTGAGATTCTTTCTTCCGTACAGTTGCATCATTCTACGGTAGAATATGTATACGGAAAAAATATTGCAGTTAGTTGCAAAAGTTAGGTGCAAAAGTTACGTTAAATTTATATTTCTCTTTACATTATTTTTGTTTTGTGAATAATGGACTATACTGAAGTTTTGTAGCCGAGTTTCTAGCTAGTAACCAGTTTTTCCTAGAAAATCTTTTACTTGGATATTTACTTAAATCTACATTTTTTTATTGAAATAGAATAAACAAATGCTCTCGTGAAAAGTTAAGAGTTCGAAGAGAGCTGAAATTTTAAGATATACATTTTCTCATTTGAAAAATATTTTTTCTCAATGCAGAAATATATTTATTACTGTAAGTAAATATATGTTGTTAGTTATATGTTATTCTCACTGAACAAATATTTTTTTATTTCTTAGACATTTTTTCTCTCAGTGTAATTACATTAATTTTGTAGTAAAAAGTCAAACTTGCATAAAACAATATAATAATTTCGCTTATCATTCTGTATCGTCCAAGGTTATAAAAAGCCTCGTTGTAATTTTCACTGCAATGTTTTCTCTGTGTATGGTAAACAATTTTTTATGGTAGAAATTATACGGTAGGAAATCGGAATAACTGATCTTCTATCATTGGCGTTTACGCTCGAATACGTACGATAATTACAACGAGCGGAGTGTCGTCGACGATTTCACGATGACGATGTATGTCAGACTTTTCACCTTATGACGAAATGTAGAAGAGCGTCGTTTAATTGACGTCATTGCAGATCATTCTTTTTCGAAGCGTCGTCTTCGTTATCGCACTCTTCCTTTTCGTTCTCTGTTCCTCTCCTCTTTCTCTCTCTCTCTCTCTCTCTCTGTTGCCGCTTGCGTCTCGCAGGTATTTCGCGTGTGGGCAGACCGCATTGTTGCGTTGCGCTCGCTGCACTTGCATCCTGCATTCCGCTTTCGGTCATCTCGAGGTCCCGACCCTCCTCCTCCTCCTCCACCTCTGTATGGAAAATGCGACGTTCCATTTCCACCGCTTTCGTTTTCATTCGACACGACGAGGCAGCCATCTCGCGATGTACATTTCCCGCGTGTGACATAAATTTTATTTACTTACTTATTATATATACATTTTCTATTAGATTTGTTTTACATATTTTTATTTCTCGCTATTTATTATTATTATTTTTCTCGAGACTGCGTGAAAGCCGAACGCGCCTATATATGCGCAATATTCAATAAATCACATGGTGATATTACTGACTCACCTTAGACTTTGACCAATTCGTCAAAATAAAAAAATAATGATGTCATTAATAATAGAAAAAGAAAGACTGCTATTTATTATTAGGGAAAATGGAAAGACGTGAAGAAATATGGACTATACTGAAGTTTTGTAGCCGAGTTTCTAGCTAGAAACCAGTTTTTCCTAGAAAATTTTCTACTTGGATATTTACTTAAATCTACATTTTTTTATTGAAATAGAATAAACAAATGCTCTCGTGAAAAGTTAAGAGTTCGAAGAGAGCTAAAATTTTAAGATATACATTTTCTCATTTGAAAAATATTTTTTCTCAATGCAGAAATATATTTATTACTGTAAGTAAATATATGTTGTTAGTTATATGTTATTCTCACTGAACAAATATTTTTTTATTTCTTAGACATTTTTTCTCTCAGTGTAATTACATTAATTTTGTAGTAAAAAATGTATATTTACTTACAGTAATAAATATATTTCTGCATTGAGAAAAAATATTTTTCAAATGAGAAAATGTATATCTTAAAATTTCAGCTCTCTTCGAACTCTTAACTTTTTACGAGAGCATTTGTTTATTCTATTTCAATAAAAAAATATAGATTTAAGTAAATATCCAAGTAAAAAATTTTCTAGGAAAAACTGGTTTCTAGCTAGAAACTCGGCTACAAAACTTCAGTATAGTCCATTATATGAAGAAATAGCCACGTAAACGTAAAACGTAAACGTAAAACGTTTCGCGAACGAATCGATCGCGTGGGTGCGTTATGTCACCGTGATTTCTGTATAATGTAATCGATAAAAATTATCTCGAGCTTCGAGTTACATTGCAACGATACGATCATACCCGACGGAACATGTGTCGATACGAAGAGGCGGTCGCCGATAAACCGAGGTGTTATCTTACCGACCACAGACTACATGTACTTATCGAGGTTCACAGTAACAAGCGCCCTCTCGAATTTCGCGCGAATATGTGTGAGAATGCGCTTATTATTTGTTACATTTGTTTGTCGAATCCTTGAACATTGTTCAGAATACGTCACGCCGTGTAATTCGTTCGGAGAAACGTTCTCCTGCAATTTTCTCTTCATCAGATTCAATACACTTTTATATATCTTATCCGTATTTTTTGTTTAATTATTTATAATTATTTTTTTCAATTATAAATTAAATTGTCGCAATGGAATTATGATGGCGACAGAGATTGGAATCCGTCGACTTTAATCCTTTCCATAAATCATGTATGAATGTAAAGTGGAAATGCACGTACTGCACTCACAGTCGATATTTTTCGTGGGAAGCTTTTTCCGTCACTTTGAAAAGAGCCAAAAATCACATCTCCGCGACACACGGTCTGGCGGTCGGATGCTGCGTCGTAGAACGAGACCCTGCGACACCCACGTGCGCCGCCACCACGACCAAAAATACAATTGTGTGTAAATGACCCGCGTGGGCCGTTAAATTGCGAATTAGCGGTCACCAACGTTGCGGTCCGCCGCGCACTCAAGCTTCATGAACGACCCGGCACGCGGAGGTCGCCCATTTTTGACGATTAATTCCGCAGAGACGAGGGCTCGCGAAGTGTCACCACCACGACACGCCGAGCCTCGGACAATCTGCCAGGGCGACGTCAACTCGCTCGACTGAATCGTCCATTCCATTCCGACGATCGAGGACGAGAATTTATCCCACTTGACCTTCGAGCCATCTCAACTCCTCGGATTCGTTTCTCTTGCGGAGTCGTTCGGACGACGTTATTGAAAGCGTGTCCGCTCGCGCTAAGTACTCTCAGAAAAATTTTTCTCATAGTAATTAAGGTGATCAGATTTCCCAACCCCAGATCTAGGACACTTCGTAAGTGTGTGCAGAAGAGGGGAACTAAAAATTATATATATATATAACAATATTTTATTTTTTCATATATATATATATATGAAAAATAATTTAACAACAACGAGAGCTTGCTACATACAGTAAAAAGCTGTTGCCAAGATAAAACTGTAGTGTCGTATCTTAATATTGAAAGTATGAAGCTGTGTTTATCAAAGTTGTGAGTTTTTTTTTAAAGGTCTTTATAAAAAGCATTTTTGTAAGAATTCACGAAAGTGAAGGTTGAGCGATCGAATATTCACTGAGAAAAGGATTTGATTGTTGAATCCAAAATTTCGTTAAAGTGGGACCAAATGTCTGATAAAAGCAATCAAGAAATTTAATTGCCGCTATTTTGCTTTGCTTAGTAACTAACAAATAAACCTACACAAAAGGTATACTCCGATTTCTTTCTAATTCGGCACAAATGTAGAAGTACAAGAAATATTTAGGTCATTTTTTTTCATTTTAGCCTACTTTAAGGTTTACGGACAGTTTATAGCTTTTTAATATTCTCACTCCTATCATCAACAAAAATGCATTAAAAAAATAAAATTGAATACAAGATATAGTTAAATAATTTTAACAAAATCGACATAGCTGAGACACGAACCATTCTAAATTTCTTTAGTCGAGATTCCAACCGAAATATTTTAAATCTATGCTACATTAGTCAAAAATGGTTCGAATCTCTGCGAAACCAAGAAAGAGAGAGAGAAATCCGGCAATTTTAATTAAAATTTTAACAAAATCAGCATAGCTGAGACATGAACCATTCTAAATTTTTTTAGCCGAGATTCCAAACGAAATATCTAAAATCTGTACTAAATTAATAAAAAATATTTTGAATCTCTACAAAACCGAGAGAGAGAGAGAGAGAGAGAGAAAAATCCGGCAATTTTAATTGAAATTTTAACAAAATCGGCATAGCTGAGACATGAACTATTCTAAATTTCTTTAGCCGAGATTTCAAACGAAATATTTTAAATCTGTACTAAATTAAAAACAAAAATGTCTCGAATCTCGGCCAAACCGAGAAATTATTTGTATAAATAAATTTTTTTCAACTTTGTACATGTTTTGTTTAAACATTTTATTATTTATACAAATAATTTTACACATTTGACTTCATAATCAGCAAATTAAAAACGCCTATATCTTGTATTCAATTTTATTTTTTATGCATTTTTGTTGCACTTGTTGATGATAGAAGTGAGAACATTAAAAAGCTATAAACTGCCCGCGAAACTCAAAGTGGGTCAAAATGAAAAAAATGTGACCTAAATATTTTCTGTACTTCTACATTTGTACCAAATTAGAAAGAAATTGGAATGCAACTTAACCTAGGTTTACTTGTAAGTGAATATATTATATTACTGAGTAAATATATTATTGAGAAAGTAAGACAAAATAGCGGCAATTAAGCTATTTGGTTGTAGCTAACAGACATTTGCTTAATCCCATTTTAATCAAATTTTGGTTCCATCGATCAAATCCTTTTTTCAGCGTACGTTCGGCTCTCCCAACATTGCATTCATGCAGCGTTGATAAATTCCTACTGCGTAGTAGTAATGTTTGGCAA